AATATTCTTGCCCGCAAAAGAAAAGTAATCCGTTCTAATGTTTGATCGACCAGGTTCGATCTGCATTAAAAATAATCATCTATGCATGAAAGACGAAAACATTTTTTAAAACCGTATGAAGCCATGCGATATAAAACTTCCCAGGAGTTTTTTAATACAGCATTTTTTTGCTTGGAAGGAAAACAAAGAAAAATGTGTTTCTCACGTTTGAAAAATCTACTTACTGAACATTGCATGACGGTCCTGTCCATCCTTCAGTGCACAAACAGCGACCGTAGTTCTTATCGCAATTTCCGCGCCCCAATGCAAAACTACAATTCTCAGGGCAAATCTGTTCCTCACAAGAAGGTCCCACGAAACCTTCCGAGCACACACATTGCCCGTCGCGACATTCTCTAGGTGGATCGCAGGATTCGCAACTCAACACTTTATAAAGGGCACTAAAGCTCTCGTTTGGCCGTCCTTGCTTGTAATGGACCGTTAGGTGACCTAAAATTATTAGTTATTTGATTAATTTCTTCTGTATGATCGAATATCTAAGAACCTAAACGACTCTCAAAACATATGTATATACATGTTTCCAAGTTTATCTAATCTATATTTCCCGCTAATTATGCATTCCATCAAAGTTTGACTGGACTATTCGCTATTTGGTTGCCTTCGTTATAAATTAGGCATTTTTGTAGGTAAATCTATACAGGGTGATTCAAAATTGACGTCATTGCTTTTAAGGGGTAATAGGGGCTCACTTGGAGAGAATCATATTGATATTGAAGATAGCAAATACTAAATCATTCGAAAAGAAACATTACGATCTTTGCTTGAAATTGCGAAAATTTTTCAAATTAAAATATTCACTTCTACAATTTTTTGATGAAAAGTCGGAGCGGCAATGATGGTTTTTGCCATTAACAGAAGAACGTCAATTTTGAGTTGGGCTACATCAACTTTAAAATAATTGAATACTACAGCAGTAACTGTTAGTTCGCGTCAACTGGGTTTAGTTTGCAAATAACCCATACAAGTTTGTACTTGAGAAGAAGCAGAGTAAGTTTAATCAACCATTTTACCTGTTCGAGATTCAACTACTGCAGTTGGTAGGGCATCTTCTGTACAGAAAACGGCAGTTAAAGCACTTTGACTGCCCATCTCGACGAGTTCAGGCAAACCATCATAAACATACACGGCATTTTCACCACAAGTTACATTGAGTTGAGAAGAGTTTAACTGTAACTGAATTATGGCAGTCCCGAAATCTACATCCGGCTTGATGATCCAGAGACATTCCCTCGTAGGAGGGCCGCCCCTTGGCGGTAAGTAGTTCTGGAGAGAACTGATGCCTTGTCCCTTAAATAATAATATATAATATACGATTTAGACAGTAACACAAAAGAGTTCATTACAATTTCAGAAACTCCCGCAATTTAGATTCAAACCAATACAACAGTAGAATATTAAAAGTAATTCACATGAAACATTTTGGGAAAAATAATGAAGGTTTAAATAAAGAAATAGTTTAATATATAATTATGAACGAAAATTTACAAATCGGACTTTTTTCTTATAACTTTAATCGTTTAGGCCTGCATAATACTTGGATGAAACAACTCCATATTCAAATACATAACGACAAAATTAAATCATAGTATTTCATTAATTAAAAAGTAAATCAAAACATGAAAAATAATTGCATACTTAATTAACAAATAACACCTGAGAGAGACAAGAAAAACACTCTTAAACGTTCATTCTTAAAACTTAATAGTTGATTATTTTCGGATCTTCAGTTCATTTTGCCATCAGAAGATGCAACGTTTTGATTAGAAAGTATCCTTACCTTAGGTTCTGTTAAAACACCTCTAGCTTCACACTGATAGTAGCATTGCTGGCCATTCCTAGGGTCTCCAGAATAGTTCGGTTGACATTTCTCACAATGAAACCCTTCGGTATTGTCGTGACAAAAGCATTCCCCAGTTTCGATGTCACATTCTCCCTTGTCGAAGTCTCCGTGTCCATTACATTCGCATTTTCTGCATCTATATTTTGAAAAACAAAATCACATTAGTATTAAAAATATAATTCTTTCAATTAGAATAAATTCAGAAACATCCTCCAGCTCTGGCTTCTGGCTCTGGGTTATTGCTTGTACATACTCTTGAATACATACCCAATTTCCTTAGTAGCGTTTCCATAACTTCCCGATCGACAATACTGACAAAACTCGCCCATCGTATTGTCTTCGCACTTTTCACAAATCTGATAACCTTCAGGGCATGCAGAATGATTGTTGCAGCCACAATTTTTCGAACAGTCATCTCCATACCACCCGATATCACACAAACACTTATAATCTGGCTCCCCTTGGCAAAATCCATGTACGCACACGTTGTAACAAGTTCTCACACACGATGACCTGCCATCACCGATGAATCTACAACAATAATCACTTTTAAGCAAAATCTTTTTGCCTCTAAACCATCACCACACCTTTGATCGGCAAGTGACTTTAGTTCTTGAGTGAACACAATCTTGCAAAAATGTAAACCTAAGTAATTCCGCAGAATACGCCAATTAATAATAATAATAATGATAATATTTAAAATTGGGGTCTGCAAAAGGTGTAACTCTTCTCAACGTCGTGGAATCGAGAAATGTGCAACTGAAGCAACTCTGTAAGTGTAATCACGCTAAAATTTATCATGGATTCAACGAGTAGCAAGCATAGAAAGGCGATTTTGTTGTCCATAATTTTCACGAAGCGAACGTTGAATGCAAACGTGAAGAACAATTATTTGGATAAAACTTTTGGATAATGTACAAGCGCTTTACAAAAATTATAGCCGCGATTTTAAGTATTTTCCGCAAAAATTTTAAAATTAGTACCTAATGCTCCGACACGTTGCTGCTCACTTTAGTGTCATTTGGGAATTGCGAGCAAAAATAGCACATTTTTGGTGACTGGCATATATGCACATTATTTTGCAAATTGCCTAAAATACCGTAATCAATTTGCAAACTACCCAAAGTAGTAGCGATACTGTAAAGTGCTTGGTGAGTTGGTCAGCTTTCGAAATTCCGAGGCATTTTGCAGATTGACGCATTTCATACATAGCCGGTAACATATACTTTTAAAACATAACAAAATAGCTACCAATTCGTGGCAACTTGACTTAAATCAGCTCACCCTTTTCGACAATGACAACTGAATGAACCATCTGTATTAGTGCACTCAGCTTGAGGATGACAATCATGCAACCCCAAGCCGCACTCGTCCACATCAGGACATTGGGCATAAGCCCATCTCGCTTCTCGGCCTCCCAAAGCCACGGAACATTCCACATGGGGCTGTTGAAAATCCCCTCTCACGCAAGTTCCAGACATGGGATTACTTGCGTCATGACACCATCCACAGCTTAAAGCACTTAAACAGGCCGAACAGTTAGAATGGGCGGCGCAAGCTTTGCATTGCTCCTGTGGCTTGTGTGTCAGCGAGCTGTTTTCGTGGGCTGTGATCAAGGGAAACGCCTGATCCAACCATTCGCGGCACAACCCAAACTGATATTCACTAGTGTATACTGAAAAACTGCAAGCAGGTTTTAGCTGCTGGGTGTCGGTTGAGATTTTTTAGTTACCTGAAACACTTTTGGGTCGCTTGGCACCAAACACATCTTCCTTTTTGATCTAAACATGCATCACATCCATTTCTCTGATAGCAAGGCATTGGACATTCTTCAGTGGTCACTACAGATCCCGGTCTTTGACCCATTCTGGTGCAACGAGCTTCTTCCACCCACCTGTGAAAAAAAACGTTTTTTTTATTTGGAAAATATTTCATTGTTGTGTTCAAGTGAGAAATAAACTCACTCACCACTCGCATAATTCAGTATTGACGCATGAAGTACATGATATGTAGTTGCTGCAATTGGGGCACATGCCTGGCAACAATGTGAGATACCGCCAATCATTTCCAAGGAAACAAGTCTCTTGCTCATTCTCACTGCGACTTTGGCAACTAGACGTCAGCTCACACCAACCACATTGCGAGTCGGTTAAACAATGGAGACAGTTGGCATATTGTGAACATGAACCATTAGCAAATGGCTCCAAATATTCGAAAGTGAACACCTATAAATGAATGAATGAATGAAAATGAACTTGAATCGTTTATTTAGCATTTGGATAGTTATACAAGTTATGTAAGCGTAATTTATAGTGAAGTGTAACAAGATATAATATTTTATATCCCAATGATAATAAACCTACCATGTTATACAGGGTGTCCACAAATTTAAATTAATCCAATAATAAATTTAAGTGGCTCTAACTTGATTAATTTAAATGCAACCCCATATGTTTTAACTTACCAGGAAATGCAATTTTTAATTACCTATCGAATGGTATTAGGATATTAATAGCTTAGTTTTTGCTTTTTACAAAATACGTCAAATAGTCATTCTGTCCACCATTTGGTGATGTTTAATTTAAGGTTCCAATGTATCTAAGTTGGCTATGCCATTTACACATGTCAAATAATTTATTTCATTTGTCAGTTTAGACTGCAAAGTCTCCTTTTGATAGCTAGAGTGGTACTGTTTTTTGTAATTGTAGACGTGTTGGTCGTTATTTTAATATTATTATTGTGTTGCTAAGTTAAAATGAAGATTTATCCAAGAGAAGAACGTATTGACATGATTTTCACCCTTGGAGAATGTCATAAAAATTGTTTATTGGCTTATCGAGTTTATGCTCAAAAGTTTCCTGAAAGAAATGATCCTAAGCCAACAGTTTTTAAGCGCTTAATACACCAATTTGAGGAAACTGGGAGTGTCTGACAGTGGGAGTGTCAATTATGAAAAACCCATTACAGGAAAATCTGTCACTGAAGATGAAGAAAATGTTTTCGCGGTAATTGGTTCAGTTATCGAAAATCCCAATGTTAGTCAAAATCTAATATCCAAAAGTACTAAC